GGGCTCCCAGGAAACACAACTTCATACTTCCCATGGGGAGACCTGCAGAAGCAGCTTTAATGCAGCGAGAAGCGTTTCACTGAGTGGCAGTGCTGCGAAGCAAAATGCTCCCCACACTAAGTATTTTTGGTTCTTGAAACATTTCAGTGAAATAAAGAAGTAAATGTTAAAATAGAAAGCAAGTTTGCAGGCACTCCTAAGCTCTCCTTTTCTGAGCAGCTTTTCCTACCAAAGGCAGAAGGCAAGGTTTGTTTTGCTGTAATGTTACGTGGCAGTTCACTCATTTACCCACTATTCGATCCACAGGTCTTACCATGAAAGAAGAAAAACTAATGAAGGCCAACAATAAACTTCAGCCTTTCCTAAATTCTACTAAAATAAATGGTAGAGGTAACCAGAAAAGAACTAAATTCCTAGGAGGAATGCCATTATTCTTTCTGTTGGAAAAAAAACAATCTGTTCTTATTTTTTTTCAAATCCTATTTTTCCCCCTCAAGAAAGGGCTTCACAGCAAACCTGACTAGTTGTTTGATTTTTCTGGAGAGCTGAATGGGAGAGGATCTTTAGAATGCATGTAACAGACAAAGGTTCAAACAAAAGCTGAATTCTTAATTAGCATGTTTTTTTTTTTAGTAAACAACAGAACCTTAAGACTGAAAAGATCTCATCTCATTTAACTGCCTAATGGATTTTTCTTACCTTCCCAATTTTCAAGCCACTTGCCAACTCTATTGATGAAAGTTTCTATAAAAAGCATGCAAAACCCCTACTTGGTACAACAGTGAAATCAGCTTCAGACTGGGTTTACCAATGCTTTGCTTCAGCAAGCAACAGGCAAAAAAACCCTGACAAACACAGGAAAAGGTAACCTTTATAAAACCTCAATATGCAGCTTTAACCTTCTTAATTCTTCACATTTTTAAGCGTACTCACAATAGTGAATTCAGTCAGCCTTTGTATTGTCCAAAGAATACCAGTGCTATAGAAGGGTTAAGAAATATGAAATTCTAACACCCAAACAGTGTAGATGAGAACACTTCTGGAGAAGCCAAATTAGACAGACGCAAAATTCCTCAAATATCTTTCTCAGATTGATTTTTAAACAACTTGATTTTGCAAGTTAATAACCCAAATAACATAAACATGGTTTAAAAGTCAATACAAAAATCCTAGTGTATGTTTAGGACTACTGAAATGGAAAAAAAAAGCAGAAAAATCAAGTAAATGTCTGAGCTTAAATAGTCAGGTGGTTTTAACCAAAGACAAGAGTTTCTTAAACACATGCATACAAATACGTACATGCAAAGACATATTTATGTAATTTTATAGTACTCTAAACCAGTACTTTTGTGCTTAATGGTGATGCAGTCAACACAAGTAGCTAAAAACATCAGGTCTAAAATTCTCATTAATCTTAAGTGGTAAGAAGTCTGAAGCCAGTGACCGAGTATGCTTTCTCTATTAAGAAGTACCATCCTGCAATTGTCACGTGGGTCCATTTCCTTATGCACTTATCATGTAAGTAATTTCCCATACCACTATCCAGATTAAGTCCGTTTTGGGGATAAAGCACTCAGCTTTTCCAGAGCTCATAAGTGCTCAACATGGTACGTATAAGTAAATAGTCCAAGAGAGAATATTCTAAGACAAACAAAAGAAAATTCCAAACCTTTCAAGATATAATGCCATCGTTTCCAAATGGAGCTTTCCTGTGCCTTGTTTTACTCAATAACACACACAATTTCATACTGAACCAACAACACATAACTGAAGATTACATTTCAATGTGTCAATTCTATTGTCACACAGTCCTCCGTTCCAGGTAGAAGTTTAATTATTAAAAGGAGCAAACATTTCAGAGAAGTTTAACAATAAAGTCCCCATTAAATGAAAGGCTATTAATGCATGTTCCTAATATTAAGGATTTTCTCACTCTCATGGAGTGAAACAACTAACAGTGTAACCAGATCTCATGAGAACATATACAATATATTGTGCCTTTATTTTTTTAATCCAAATAACAAAGAATACCTTTTGTCCTTTGCATTTAGAGGGGAGAGGAGGATGTGGGAGAAGGACACCGTCAATATAAAGTAATAAAACACTTCTATTAATCCAAAAAACTGCAGAAAACAAAAGAGTCTTACCTAGCATCAACTTATTAAAATAACCCTAGACAAAAACCAAAACCTCCTTATGCAGTGGTAACGACGCTGTATCTATCCCTGTTTCAGAATATATTTCCTTTTTTAAAGCCAGAACAAATTCAACATCATGAAAAAAAAAAAAAAGTGTGCAAACCAGTCACCGTTTGGTATCTACATATTACGAAAATGAAGGGGCACTTCCCAAGAAAAAAATAAGGTGTCCTTTAAAAGTAATCACATCTCAATGCAGTCTGTATCCTGAGTCATTTGTTTGAAATGCCAGTCCCAGAAATGCTAAGATTTAGATGACGATTATCTCCTCGACATTATCCCAATTTGATTATACAGTGTTTACTACATCAAAGCCAGAAAAAGCACAGTAATAGATTCAGTGACACACCCACTTGGAACAGTGAAGACCTATTATTAAAGAACCCTAAGAATCATTTTCAAAAGGTTTTTATTTTCAAACACAGTCTAACGTAAGATGTTACCATAAAGCAAGGTTGTTAAATATTTTTATTCAACCCACATATTTGAAGCTGAGGCTCAGAAGCCAGGTGAAATTATTTATGTGATCAGGAAACTCAACTATCTTTCTTATATAACTCTTATTGGACACATTACAGAAATTCAACAGCCAAGTTTCACATGGTTGAACACATCAATAGAGTGTCATTAACACTCATTCCCTCGTAACTCCACAACTCATACCAGAACACGAGACAATACGTTTCCTTCAGGCCTGACCCTGAGCAAGTTCTCAATATTTTTAGCTTTTGCATAGCTTTATTGTGCTGTGGTCTGCATAATAAGCATTGATATCTAGCAAATCTGTACATTCTAATAAGCAGGTTACAGTTAAAAATCCACATGTGGGGATGCCTGTGTAGACAAGGTCATAACAACCTGTGCTGTTTCCCAGTCGTGTGGGCGCACCATGGCAGTTCAGACTCAGACAACTAGAATGATTATAATCAACACATCATCCAGAGTTACGCTGCATAAGACAGTGATTATAATGTTGTCACCCTGTCTACGTTACCTCTCGCATCTTCTTTAGCACCAGTAAAGCTGAATGCTAGACAACTTTAAAAGGAGAAGCTATCATCGGGCAGAAGACTAAACTCAGCCTGAGAACCTACACCTGTGGAGCAACAAACAGGTATTTAACTGAGGATGCCAAACTGGTCATACCATCCAAATCCTTCAGCAGACTTGACAGCACTATCTCTGCTATCCTCCTACATCTATCAAATCAGAAGTGTTTGTGCAACACATTTTCAAAAGATGCGGCACAATTTTTAAATATAAACAGAGCTATTTAGCGTTGGCTATCAGCAAAACAATCAGCTTAATGTATATCTTAACAGTTATGATAATGCCTTGAACACAGGATCTCATAAGGACAAGAGTACACAAACAAGCTACACTTGGTAAATTCATGCACAAGCACATCAGTCACTCTGCAATAGCTGTCCACACACTTTTTTTGTTCAAAGAAAACCCCGGCTGCTATTTTCCAGTTACTATGGCTAATAAACTGTTTGTAGGTTTATTTTACAATAGCTAGCTCAATCTGGAGGTATAGAAAATATTTTCTCTATTATATACGGAAATGCAGCTATAATTTTTACCCTTCTACATTTAGCAACGTGAACAGAACACCAGAGTTGAAATCTTTAGCACATTCCTGTCCTTAGTCCCATGTACTTCTTGCCATTTGTTATACAATTCTAGTGTAATGTAAGCTACAAGAAAACAGAACAGAACAGTGAAACAATCGTGTTGTCTAATAACAAGGCCCCTTCTAGAGAGCCTGGCACCAGTTCTAGTCACATTTTTGGAGCACTGTCCTTCAGTATATTCTTTGGAATTTTGTTGAGCATTTAATCATAGATTTTCCTATCTGTATATAAAATGAACCATGCAACACTTGGATAAATCCCATCTCACAACGTTTACAATGCTACTTACACAGAGCAGCTATCTTTTGCCTTACACTAAGACATAAGTAAAACCTACCTGCAGCCTGAAGCCTCTATGCCTATTGGTAATCTTCATTTGCAGATGTTATCCTACTGATGACATCATTTGTTTACAGATGACCAACCAAACACACAGCACTATGAGCTGAATTACTGAATGAATCAAGTAAGGCCTGCCACTTTAAAATTTCCCAGTTAAGGATGGTCTGACTATCTGGAGGGCAAGTGTTTGTAACAAGATCTGATCAAAATGACCTCTGGAGTCCTACAAAGCAGCTCTGTTTCCACGCTCCTCTTTCAAAAAGATGAAGAAGTAAGTCTACCACAACAGACACACTCTTCCAAGCATATTAAAATCCAAATAAAAGATACTGAAAACAAAGCAAGCAAAAATCAATACTAGAAGCAGGACATCTGCAAAGAAGAGAGTCACATTAAACATTCAGAGTGGCCTTAATGTAATTACTACAGAATAGGGCTGAATCAAGACTCTTCTCCCAATAGCAATATAAGATCTTGCCTTTCGGAAAGCATTTATGACATGACAATGCATACACACAAGTGTCAAATACGCAGACAAATGCAAGGTCTTCTTGACTTGCACAGACATTTGTTACCAGTTGGTCACACTCATAGCATAAATTTCATTTGAAACTGAATACTTCAGCAACATTAAAAGCAAAACCTCAAGAAATTGTTTTTATCTGTGCAGAATTTCTTTAACAAAGAATTTCATACGTTGACAAGCTTGAACACTCCTCTTCGGTAACGCTCAAATTTCATTTGGCATATGTTCAAGACTACAGTGACATTCAGACAAACTCATTAAAATTATAGTATTGTGACAGATAAACACTCAACTTACTTTACATAATATCTTGCACCTTCAAAAGTGTAAGCTTCCTCCCAACCTGTGGGTAAGTCTGGAAAACAAGTAGCAAAACATTGTAATTAACTTTTGAAATGATGCTAGCCATACTGGTCTAGTCCTTGACTAAGGTAGTTAAAATATTGCATCTTATTCCCGATGTTAAATGCTCTAGTCCTACAAACAAGTACTTGTAAATTGACTCAAAATACTGCCTCTCAGTTTAAATTCTGTAATCTACTACAAGCAACACACAGAAAAATCTGATTTGGATTTCTCAAACGATAAGGGCTTATAAGTGTGTCTTATGTAGCAATGTTTCTTCCTTTGCCCAGTAACTAGAACTCACTGTCGTCATGAGTTCTTTCTGCCTTGAACTTCAGTAGCATCAAATCACCTGACAAACAAAGATCTAAGCGAAATCGATTTACTGAGTTTGCGTTACATGCAAGTCGCAAGCATCTTAACAGGCATGGTATCAACTACACCACAGAGCTATTTTGTATTAGCATAATTCCACCACCGATGTTACTAACAAGTGTTCCTGCAGTGTTTACAACTCTATTCAATTTCACATGAGAATAATTTTCAATGCAAATCTAGTGGAGGAAGTGGGTACATCTTTTCCCTCTGTATCTCAGGAGTCAAGAACCCAGACACAAAAGAAAATATCTCTCTGGAAAAAACAACAACAACAAAAACAACCAACCACTAATGGTCAACTTTTTTTAAAACTAATTGCTTCCTGATGCAATGGAAAATGTGAAGATGCTGAAGAATCACCTCTATGCAACTCTAGATGCATTGCTACCATTAAAAGTTTGCTGCAGTTGTTAAAAGCAGTAATTGAAATGTATGGCTCACTCTCTGAATTATAAAATCAACGATATTTTTCCCAGGAAAAAAGAAAAAATATTTAGTCTGGATCACATGACTTTTCCTGTTTGTTCATTTGCTCTGGCTGACTTTTTTATTTCACCTCTGTCTTCTCTAGAAGAAATGAAAATCCAGGTGTCTTGATAACGACACAAGGCAAAGTTCATCAAACAGGAAGACTCTCTAGCAGAATGACTAATGGCTGCTAGAAGAACTTTGCAAAAATAATACCTTTCCAGGGCTGAATATCTCCAGAAATAAGAACTTCATTTTAAAGGACAATATTTTCCTCATCATCTAGTATGTATTTCACAGTATTATTTACTAAAAAGCTTTACAATAATACAAATTTCCAGGAGAACCTTATTCACTCAGAAGTCATCTCTTTAGGGAAGACACATCTTGTGCTTACTTTGACCAGGTTCCAAAACAACGGTCAGGACAAAACAAGATATAAAATCCAGAGCTAATCTGTTTGATTGTATCTACATATGGAGACACAAATTAATACACACATGAATGAGGAAAACACAGAAACTGGTTTGTTTTGCAGGTACTTCAGTATCTGATCTACAAATCATGGTCGGTATATCCAAGGTCATACCTCACTCTGTGTTCAGAAATAAGTTTAATTTACCTGATAATAACTCTCCTAGGTTATATACAGTACTCCAGATCCTCAAAAGCAAGCTGCATTTCCCTTACAAGGCACTTAATGGCCGAAATAAATGAGACACTTGGAGAATTACTGTTAAATCACCATCAGTCAACAGAGACACTGTTGGCAGCGTGGAAAAAAAAAAAGGGAATTAATACTCAGCTCATATTAATGGCCAGCTAGCAGAGCACTTCACATACATCTGCCCCCATGCGTACTGCTGTAGATGAAAGCCAGTCTCTCAATTAATCTGAGTACTGGAAGTGGGGAAAAGAGGAGCCCGATAGCAATCAGCAGCTCTATTTCCTGGCACTAAATGACTTCTCCCAAGCATCAGCCCCTCGCTGCGGGCTGAGCTGCAGAGTTCCTTCCACCAGCCAGAGCCCCGGCTCCCCGAACTGCTCCCAACTCTCACAAGGCTGCCCGCAGTTTCCGAAGGGGCTGTTTCCGACCTCGTGCCGCCTAAGCCCTGAGCAAAGCCCGGCAGCGAACAGCCCCATCGGGCCCAACAGAGCGGCGGGTTTCACCCGGGCGGCTGCTCGCAGACAAACAGCCGCCCGTAGAGCTGCCCTCCACCACCTCCCAGCGGCACGGCTGGGCTCTGGGGCTCCGCAAGCCTTCCTCCTCCTCCTCCTCCTCCTCCTACTTCTCCAGGAGGAGCGAGCGGCAGCAGCAGCAGCACCGAGTCCCCCATCCCTCGCGGCTCGGTGCCTTGCCTCCCCCCTGTCACTCGCGAACCACCCCCGCTCTCCGCGGGGACGGCAGCGGAGGGGGGGGGGGGCAGGGGGCAGGGGAGGGCTCCGGGGGCGCTCCGAGCGCTGCTGGGGGGGGCGCCCCGCTGCTCCCCGGGGCCGAGCCGCCGGGCGGGGCGGGCAGCGCCCAGGGGTCCCCGGGGGTCCCCGCCCGGCAGCGGGAGGGCGGCGAGGAAAGGCGGGGGGGGGGGCGGAGACCGCGGGGCACCGAGCCCCGGGGAAGGGGCGGCCATGTCGGGGGAGGGCCGGGGGGCTCCCCGCTGCTCCCCCAGCCCGGGCGGGGTCCTACCTGCGCTGCGGCGGTGTCCGGTGATCACGGCCTCTCCGGTGAGCGGGTGCAGCCAGGTCGTGCTCTTCGCCTCCTCGCTGCGGGGACGCACACAGGGAGCGAGTCAGGCGGGCGCTGCACCCCCCGGCCCCGCTCCGCGCCCCCCTCTGCCCCCCGGCCCCCCTCCGCCTCCGCCCCGCTCACTTGATGAAGAAGACGCGGCCGCCCTGGCTGATCCCATAACTCCAGCTGCCGGGCAGCGCCCGCAGCCGCTCCGCGCTCAGCTCCGCCGGGGCCGCCATGGCCGAGCCGCCGCCGCCGCCAGCGCAGCCGGGGAGAGCCGGGGGGGAGCGGGAGGGGAGGGGAGGGGGGCGAGGGAAGGAGGGAGGGAGGGAGGGAGGGGAGGGGGCGCGCGGGCACGAGCGAGCGCGTCCCCGCCGCCGCCGCCAACACCTTGGGGAGGGGCGGGGGCAGCAGGAGGGGGCGGGGCGAGGCGGCGAGGCACGCCCCCGCGCGGGCACGCCCCGCCCGCCGCGGGGGCGCGCAGCTCTGCTGGCCGTTGGGGCGGGGCAAGGGAAATGGGGGGGGTCGGGGGGCGGCACAGGGCTCGGCTGGCGCGGGGCCGAGGCAGGGGGAGGCGGTGGGGTTGTGGCGCTTCGAGGGGACAAGCCGAGCGTGCAGGGCGAGGCAGGGCTTCGATTGAGGTTAAAAAAAAGAAATGAATAAAACTGTCGTGGCCGTGGTGTTTCTGAGGGGAGCTTGCCGTACAGAACCGTGTCCTCAAACGAGGAGGGCTGGGAAGCCCGAGGTGTTCTGCTGACAACACTCCTGCGTCCACAGAAACGTTTGAGATTCACAGCTGAGAGCTTCGCCCTCCTCTTGTCTCCCATTCTGAGCACTTACGGAAAAATAAAATCGGACAGAACAAGTTGCCCTGTGGCTTGTTCCCCACCACACCTTGCGGGCAAAGCCCTAAAACCCAGTTGTCCTGCACCAGACACTCCAGCCCTGAAGAGCAGTGGACAAGTGGGCAAGCATTGTTATCTTTAAGTAACTGGATTCGAGATAAGAATGCTTCCCTGCCCAACGTAACCAGTCACCACTGACAGCACCTGAGATTTACAGACTACCGCATATACGCTGGGGAAAACACAAGTTATTCTACAAACAGTTCCCTTCTCTCTTAAGAGCAAGAGCACTTGGACGACGAGTAAAAGTGAATAATGACTCTTCCACTGAAGGGCTGTGGAAGGCTGCCTGGTGACAGCGTGGGGGAAATCACGTGTGTGTTGGGTTCATGAGGTGGTAATTGTGTGCCAGCTTCCCTTGTGCAACCTTACTGAAGCAAAGAGCAAGTGCTCTTGATCTTGAGAACGCCGGGTACCTGCTGTCACGCAGAATCAGTTATCTTTGTTAGCAGAGGAGGACATACAGCACAGCAAGACTTACATTCACTCAGGTTCATAAAATAAATCAGGCATTAGGTAGAATTTAGGTACAAGAAATCCTTCCGAATCTTGGCATGTTCTTTTCCAAACTCCTTCCTTAGGCGACTAAATTTTGCCAGTTCTTTGCCTTGAAGCCTTCTTTCTGTTTTGCATATATTTACAATTGCTGCCTTCTTGATAAAACCAAGAGTGTAATAACCTAAAGTACGTCAGAGCCTGGCTGAATCCTCAGAGAAGGTATTCCTCTGCAGAAGTCTCCTGCAGAGAGGCCTGATAAATTGGCTGCAGTCGGGCCACGCCTAGGAAGGACTTACAGGATTAGTTTCTGTATAACTCACAGCAAACAGGTTGGCAGCAGCGTCATCACCAAGAACACTGTGGAAAACCTCTTTCAGCCTAAAGGAGGAAGAGCATTCAAAGCCATACCACTCTTCCCAGGAGAATGCTTTTCCTCCAAGCTATAAGCTATTCTGAAGTGGAGACTATTCTATGAGTATACCGAAGGTGCTCCACCTCTCCCTTTGAAGTCACATTATTTCGCAAATATAATTATTGGGCTACATGATGGTAACATGACTTGCTGGTCTCATGAACCAGGAGCTCATGCAGTGGTGGAAGATGCTGGTTCTGCTCCATTGTTCAAGGACTCTTGTGCATTTTGTGTTGAACAGTCATCAAGTAAACCAGTGTAATTAGTTCTGGAACATACAGAAGGCACATTTTGACTGTATTTACAGGAATTAATCTGCAAGATGGCATGCACCATGAACTCATGTTGATTTCCGGGAGCCCAGAGTTTTGTCACTGTGTAGAACGGAGCTCCTGAACTCCAAACAGTATGAGTGAAACCACACCTGCATTGTTTGTGTAGGCTGGTGCCATTTGCATTGACAGTTTTCTTTTCTGAAAATTGCTTTTTAGTTAAAACTTCTGTTTCAAACTCAGTGTAAAAGTTTGCTAAAAGCAAATCACACACTGAGTTTTCACAAAGTTTGCTAAGAGTGTGTCTTTTCTACAGTCTGATTAAGTGCTTGAGCGCTTTTTTAAAAAAGGAACTCAAGAATAATTTTCTTTTAAAAAGACATGCCATCCAGAAGGAGTAAAAATCTCTTTTAAAAGCAGTTTATATCACCATAACAACTGTATGCATATTTTAACATATTACATATTTTACTTTTTTTTTTTTTTTTTTTTTTTTTTACCATAAATATGGACTAATTATTCCAAATGTGAATTTGGTCAATCCAATTTGTGAGATGTGGAGATTCATCAGGACATTCCCATCTGGCCAACATCTCCTTTCCACAGAAGAGATGAAAAGGAACTGTTGGAGCAGTGACTGCCACTGAGACAACTGTTCTCTGCCTTCTGCCCGTAGGGCCAGGTATACCTGCTGCTCCTGTCATTGATGGGAAGTGGATGGAGGATGTTGCTGCTGTGTGTGTGAGGCAGGATTAGGAGCAGAGCAGTCAGTATATTGGCCACCCACCTCTGGGAGCTTGGGATAAAGTGAAAATTTGGTTCCTCTGAACTCTTTCTAATCGTTCTCCAGTCTGAGCCCACCTTTCTCCTTCCTCTTCCACCTCTTCAGAACAGTAGCTTTCCCAGCAACTCCCTCGGGATCAGGGAAGACATAAGACCACTAAGCTCGTTTCTGAAAAAGTCATTTCAGCTGAGTAATGTAGTCATAATCAAAATATTTAAAATTCCTGAGGCAAAAGAACCCTGCCCACAAAACAACAAATCCCTTTAAATTGGATTAATTAAAAACCTGCATTGGGAGAACATTCATTGAATAAGACTCAGAGAAATCCACCCACACCTCTCCCAACAGGTACAAGGTGACAATGAATATGTGGTGATCCAACAAAAGAAGGGCTAAAGCTAAGCAGAGCATTTGGCAAAGCCAGTAGGCTCTGAAGCAGGGAGTGGATGGCAGTCCTAACACTCCACCTAAAACCTGTTCACAGGCTTGCATTCATCAGGGTTGGTTCTGTGTGTTCCATCAATATGAATCAAATCTGATGAGGTTATATCACAGAGCCTGTAAGTTTAAATTTTCATGCTGTTTAGCTAGCAAGACAATATAAAGCTTAACAAGCAAGAAAAGACCATTGCTAGGGGTGTGGTTTTATGTTGCACATTCTAATGAGGAAGCTGCTTCTGTAGTGTGGGGTCCTTTTATGCCCCGTCCCTAAACGAGGGTTTTTCTTGCCTCCATAATGATGTTACAGCCCACAGTGAATTAGGTCCATTTGCTAATCTGGTAGAAAATAAGTCATGAATCCTCTCAAATAATTCACTTCCCATCAGATCAATAAGCTGATGCAACTTGTCCTGAGGTCACACGATAACTCTATCCAACAATTGGTACACTCATGACAGAGGGAGAAAAAAAATAATCCAGTAGACTGACTGACATTCTCAGAAGTTACAGTATCTTTGTGTAGACGCAAGAAACAATTAGCCTAGGTCAGAGGAAATGAAAAAGATAAAGAAAAGCTGTCTAAGACAGTCTCTGCAGACTGCTCCATTGGTAGAATGGAGTCTCTCTTTGCTGCAAATAAAGAGCCTGGTAACACTTCTGGGCTTCTGGTCTATGTCTGGTAGCTCTGAAAGCTGAAAGTTTTTCTAGGGGTCATTGGTACAAGTGGCACAGTCGTCCTCTTCTGGGTTAGTGTAAAGCATCAATCTAGCTGAACAAGCTGTGGGTCATTAGCCTCCCAGCCATCCTCATGAGAAATTCTAGCAAACTGATTTTGGTCTGTGAGATAGAGTGCTAAAGCCTGCACTTATTCAGGCAATAAAGTATATATTTACAGTTAAATAAGCTTTTTAGTCTGGGCTCAACAGAAAAATAAATAAATAAATAAATGAAACACCAGTTTTGTTCATTTCCAAACTTTTTTATAGCTGAAATTAATGATTTCCCTGTAAGGTTGTGTTATGCAAAAGTTTTCTTCCCTTTGGGACAATAAATCCTTATATGAGAATCCAAGTACTTTCCATTTAATTTATTTAAAGATCCTGTCAATTAATGCAAAGCAAACTCCAAGGGAAGAGCCTGAGATTTGCTTTTTCCTGGCAAGCATCAGAAAGGCAAAACGGCAGATGACTCTCCAAACCAGCCTTGTCCTGTCAGAAAAATATTGACCGTTCAGTGCAATTTTGAACAGAGAACACTCCTTTTGTAACTTCAGAGACTTGCTTGCCCTATTGTCCATGTCATGTATCGCATGAGGAGCTTCTTGGCCCCCCAGTCATCCAGCCTGCGATGATGGATTCCACAGTCAGGTCTTCAGGTTTCATTTACTGATCGTATCATATTCAACATCTCAGAAAAGATTGAGGCTCAAGATAAAGAGCTGCTTTGCTGGATCCTTCTTCTCCTCCTTTTCCCACAACTTCACAGACTTCTAGTTTAGGAAGCCCTTAAGCTACCAAAACAAGCCAAGTGGTTGTCTGTAACTTTCACAAAGCAGTTGAAGGACATTTTTTATCACATTTATTACTATGATTAGGTTAAATTAATATGATTAGGTTAAATTAATATTAAAAAGGAAATGGTTTGTGAGAGAAATACAGTGATCTGAATATCCCACTTGTCCTCTCACTAGTGGTTGTGAGCCAGAACTGGTTTAAGCCAGGAAATTTCATCTTCCAAATAATACTCTCATTTGAATCATCCAGAAGAAAATCATATACTGTGCTACACACACAAATTCTCTGTCTCTCAGCTGGCTCCTCAGTTTCACAGATCTTTTCAGTATCTGGTAGACTTCAGCATCTGCTTTTCTTCACACAGTCCTTTGCTGCTGCCCAACTCCTCAAAAACCTGCTCCATTTCAAATTCTAGGAGATGCAGAAGCTTTCTCTGCTCTGGAAGAAACAGAAGACAACATGTTCCTTCTAAGAATTGTTTTTGTTCA